TTACAAACTTGAAACACAATGAATTCCATTACAAACTTGAAACACAATGAATTCCAATACAAACTTAAAGGGACAGACCGGCTATGTAATTAAACTGAGTATGCAGTTTTGCGGACAAATTCTTAAGGTTTCATTTGAGACATATAAAACTTTTTCAAGATCTGTAAATCCTGATTTTGAGCGCAAACTTGAAACACAATGAAGTCCATTACAAACTTGAAACACAATGAAGTCCATTACAAAATTGAAACACAATGAAGTCCATTACAAACTTAAAACACAATGAATTCCATTACAAACTGGAAACGCAATCAATTTCATTACAAACTGGAAACGCAATCAATTTCATTACAAACTCATGAAACACAATGAATTCCATTAAAAACTGGAAACACAAAGACTGAATTCCATTAAAACTTAAAAAAGTTAAAAAAAAACCCTATTCATGAAGATCTTGAAATTGTAAAAATATTTTGAAAATAAAAGTTTAAAATTGAAAGGTTAGATTGATGAAAAATCCCCATGTTGTTGATTATATATTTTTTAAAAATCTATGCGCTGCTTCCCATTTATCAATCACAGAGTGAGCTTTGCAGACATTATTTTTTTTTTATCTCCAAGTCTAAGATATATAATAATGTGTGGGATATTTTAAAAAATATTATATTTTTAACGAGCCGAAGTTTGAAAGCCTGAAATGTTGAAATTTAAAAGTACGTTTAATTCAATCATTAACTCTGTTTTGTTTCAACATTTTAAATAGTTCATTATTTACGATCAACCATTGAACAATGTGTAAATAAAATACCCTTGAAAACCACAGAAACCAATTCCATTTTATATAAAATTTATAACTTATAAATTCCAGAGGAAAACTTAATTTGCTTGTTAACTTTTCAAAGTTAGGGTTTGCAAAACTTTACGAAACTCACTAGTCACAGAACAAATAACTTGATGATTGAGAAAAATTAGCACTGTCAAAGCTATTTTCACACCAATACCCTTTAAACCTTCGTCAGTGCATAAATTTTTTTTTTGGTAATTTTTTTTTAATGTCTAAAAGTTGTTTAATTCCATTGGTGTTTTTCTATCGTAGAATTGATAATGTCCAGTTGTGATTTCTCTCATAAATTGACTCGCGGATTTATTTTAAATTGTACAAAAGGGTTGTATTGTATACCTGTAACCCAGCTGAAGAGGGCAGGTATAGCTCTGACCGGCCTAGCTCCGCCTAAACTTCACCTGACAGGACAATGTTTCCGGGATAATAGAGCAGGGGGGACTTTCTACACACACGGAGTTGATACAGGGTTTTATTTCCAGGCAGGAGATCAGATTTTCCGTCCTAGTAAACAAACAAATGGTTACATTCTTTTATAGAAATACAATTTTTTTTGACTATTAGAAATAAGTACTCCCTGCATTGTTTTTAAATGTAACATTTTCAAGCTGTATAGATTACATGTAGATATGGATATGAAATTCACTTGGTTTGGATAAAAACTGACCTAAGCCTAGGTTCCTGTGCTGTGTGTATGTATATACCCTGAGAGAAGGAAGAAAACTGAAACCTAAATATTACTAAATTAGAATGTCTAGGTGCAGGGGATATAAGGAGTAAACTCATCCTTGCCTTTCCATCAATGAAGTGTTGAATATAAGAGTTGAAGTAAACTATTTTAATTCTAATATCTCTGAATTCAACATGCGTTTGGAGTAAGGACAGATAAGGGGTAAGGGTGGATAAGGAGTAAGGACGGAAAAGAAGTAAAAACGGACAAGGAGTAAGGATGTATAAGAAGTATGGACGGATCAACAGAAAGGATGGTTGAGGAGTAAGAATGGAAAAAGATTAAGGTTGTCAATGTGTAAGGACGGATAAGTATTAACGTTTGAAAGGAAGGATGAATATCTGGAGTAAGGATGGATATTTGAAAATAGATGGATATTGGAGAAAGGATGGATATTGAAGAAAGGATGGATATTGAAGGAAGGATGGATAATGGAGAATAGATGGATATTGGAGAATAGATGGATATTGGAGTAAGGATGGATAATGGATATTGGAGAAAGGATGTATGATGAAGGAAGGGTGGATATTAAAGAAAGAATGGATATTGAAGAAAGGAAGGATTTTGAAGAAAGAACGGATATTGAAGAAAGGATGGATATTGGAGAATAGATGGATATTGGAGAAAGGATGGCTATTGGAGAATTGGATATTGAAGAAAGGATGAATATTGAAGAAAGGATGGATATTGAAGAAAGAATGGATATTGGAGAATAAATGGATATTGAAGAAAGGATGATATTAGAGAATAGATGGATATTGGAGAAAGGACGATTATTTGGAGAAAGAACGGATAATTAGAGAAAGGATGAAAATTTGGAAAAAGAATGGATACAGGAGATAAGATGGAAATTCGGAGAAAAACCCGGAAAGGTGGAGTAAGGATGGATATTTGGAGAATATTCGAATATTTGGGGAATTTATGAATATTGGAGTAGGGATGGATATTCGGAGTGAGGATGGATATTGGAGAAAAAATGGATATGGGAGAATAGACAAATACTGGAAAAAATATGGATATCAAAGAATTGATGGATATTTGAAGAAAAGATGGATAGTTGGACTAAGAATATGGATATTTGGAAACAGATGGATATATTAGAAATGATGGATATTGAACCAAAGGATAGATATTTTCAAGGTTATAATGCAAGGAAAGTTATTTCAGAGGTGTATGCATCTTTTGTACTGCAGTGTACTGTGTCTGGGCGGTAATGTAAACATAAGACTGATGTCACAGTCTGACATGGGATCCATTTTTCACAAAAAAAATCAATGACATATTCTGGTCATAGGAAACTGTTATGTGAATTATCAAAATTATCAAAATTCAATGCTTTTATCCTCCTCGGATACTAAACAAACAATGATGCATCTATTCTTGCAATTAACTTTCCTTGCATTATAACCTTGAATATTTTGAAAAAGAATGGATATGAGTAAGGCATGGACTGGAAAGATTCATGATTTTAGAAAATACAACACTTTGATATTGAAAGGAATTTGAGATGTTTCCGGAGAGTAGGAGTAGGAAGGGAGGAGGGGGTTTATAATTATTTGCATTACAGCACATTTTTACATTATGACACCACGGTGGCCCCTCCTAGCCCTCCCCCCACCCACCCTTCCTTTCAACCCTGATTTAATGTGTCCGGAGTAAGGTTTTAATTGCGTTCTTCCTTTCCGGTTTATTCAGTATATATATATATATACAATATACATATTACATATTACTAAACAAGGTTATAACGCAAGGAAAGTTAATTGCAGTGGCGTATACTCTGCGTACAGATTGAAATCAGTTCTCTCTGGGTGGAATTTGTAAACAAGAATAGATGCATCAGTGTTCGTTTATTATCCGAGGAGGTTAAACGCATTAAATTTTGATAATTTTGATAATTCACCTAATAGTGTCCTATGACCAGAATATTTCATCGATTTTTTATATGAAAGATGGATCCCATGTCAGGCTTTCACATCCGACTTATGTTTACATTACCGCCCAGAAACATTACACTGCAGTACAAAAGATGCGTACACCTCTGAAATAACTTTCCTTGCATTATAACCTTGTTAGTTTTTACTAACAATATATAAAACTATACTGCAGTGTTGCTCAAGTGTTGTTGTTAATAGTTTTGGATCCTTTTTAAAAAAAATAGATTCCAACTATTTAAAACTATATTCTCTAAAAGTATTCTTTTATTAAACCACGGTGGTAGGCGATAATATCAATATAATGAAGACGAATTTCTATTTCAATTTTTATCTATATCAAGCTTTTAAACAGCATGGATACACAAAAACATGGAAACAAGGAGAAGCTGTCGATTAAAAAAGCTTCACTATAATTACTTGTAAACTTGTAACTCGAAAAAAGCTTGTTAACAATTAAAACTTAAATAAAAAGTCGTTTTCATTATATTGCTTTAATCGCCTCCCATCTTATGCAAAAAAAATATTTCAGAAAAAATTTAAGGAAGAAACCTCAGCTTTTAGGTAATTGTTTTTGGTTCGTTGTTTGCATATATCTTCTGTAAGGCCTATAAAGGGTTAAAATCAGTAAAGCAAATGTTTAGAATGAACAACTTTTGAAATTGTCAAAAATTTTGTGAAATCTTTAAAAAGTCTAAAAGTTAAATGTTAAAAAAAGTTATTGCAGGTATATGAGAGCCCAGAAAACCTTGCAAAAGAGATGGTACTTTTAATTTTAAAATACAGAACTTGAAACAATGTTTTTAAAGTAAAAAAAAATGTTATTATCCGGGTACCACTAAAATCCCCCTCTCATTGGACTGTATTATCACATTTCTGACCTAAATATGACGAATAAGTACGCTTGTAATGTCCATTAAACTAAAGATGGAACTGTAGCGATCAATAAAAAGAAAGTAGTAAACTGATCCCACCACCTTGCATTATCTATATATTAAATATGCAGTCCTGGAACCAATTAGAAAACCAATGATCGGTATACGTAAATTAAACCCTACTACATTTAGAAGGAATTTCGGAAATATTTTACTTGGAACAGATCAAATATGGACTGAAAAAATCCATGAGTATTGCTTTTCTTGATCAAGTTTAATTTCGCATTTTCAGTTTATAATCCAAATTTTTTTTGTGTTCTTTTGTATGACAAAATATATCTACATGAAAACGTACTTTAAAGGAAAAACTGGAAAGATTTAATATTAAATATTTCAGAGGAATATGGCTGCGTGTTTTGGATACTCACTTTTCCGGGATGATATAAAACACACATTTAAATACCGGATGGGAGGGATGAAGAGAAGGGATGGGGGGGGAGAGGGGGTCACCGTTTCACCGCATAGCTTGGTTAATTTACGAAAGGTGAAAGCAGTGTGAGTAATTCCAACCGCGTGCACCAACAAATTGGTTTCAGTCGTTGTGGGATACTTAAACAAGAAACAAGGAGAAAGAGGAAAAACGGAATAAAATGAAAACTATTTTGTTTTCGAGTTTTCTGATATCAGTTTTGTTTCCTATAATTAGAAGTAGTCCCTTGGTCAGGTTAGTTTAGAACTTTTACTTCTCCAGGTGCTTTACTTCACTCACATTTAAGCTTAAAGGGGCTGTAGGCCAAATTGTGACCCTCCATGCTAAGATGGCAATGCTCTTTTCACAATGGAACCCTTGAAACCTTTATCTGAGCCAAGGTTATAATGCAAGGAAAGTTATTTCAGAGGTGTACGCATCTTTTGTACTGTAGTGTACTGTCTCTGGGCGGTATAATGTAACCTCAAGACGGATGTCAAAGCCTGACATGGGATCCATCTTTCACATAAATAATCACTGAAATATTCTGGTCATAGGAAACTATTATGCGAATTATCAAAATTATCAAAATTAAATGCTTTTATCCTCCTCGGATAATAAACGAACACTGAGGCATCTATTCTTGTTTACAAATTCCGCCCAAAAAAAATTGGTTTCAATATATACGCAGAGTATACGCAACTGCAATTAACTTTTCTTGCATTAGTACCTAGATCTGAGCAAACAATGTGAAAGATTTTAAACATTGATATCTAATTCATACTTGATCAGACAAAGCCTTAAAGGGTACCTTTGTGAATCGATCATTGCAATCTTTGCAGGGTAGGACACTTAAAGTCACTCGTACTGTCACTTTAAGTTTTCCGAATTGGACTGTTCTCTGTTAGTATTCACGTCAAAATTAAATAAATAGGTAATTTCCTAGAGAACGATTTTTACTAATTTAGTTGAAAATTGTTGAAAAGTGGTCATGTACAAAAGTAAAATCTGAAGTGAAGTCTTCCCCACCTCGTACACTCGAAGGTTGGAGTTCAACGTCTGCCTATTTGTCTGATGTACAAATACCGCGTACATCTATTCAGAATAGGTTATTGTATACATTATATACAAATATGCTAAATATCGCCAAACAAATACATTATTTTGAGATTCAAAAATAATGGCAATAGAAACATTTTTTTATATTATAAAAAATCGGTTTTATTTAATATGGTAAAGTTAAAGACCACATTTGAAATATTAAAAGACGACCTTTACCAGCCCTTATTCAAATGGAGTACCGTCTGCAAAGCATGTATAATCATATGGTTAATGGTAGGGCGGGCCGGGTCCTTCCTTCTCCCTAATATTCCATACTCGTTGACATGAACATAATGCTACACAAATAATCTTGCAGTATAAAATTTATCCATTTTTTATTTCTTTTTTATCAAGGACGGC